GAGGCTCCTCCCTTCCTCCTGCTGCTGCTGTTAGACCCGTGAGGTAGTGAGGGGCGGCCCTCTTCCTCGTTCGCCTCCCTGTGCTCCTGACGAGAGGTACAGTCCCGTCTGGCACTCGTTCTTTTCAGCTCCTGTTGGGTCTCTGCATTTGTAAGCTATGTAAAAGCCGGGAGTTCTGCTGTGGCTCCCTGTGCCGGTGCCTGTCTCTCTGTCCCCGTCTCCCCGTGTCCCTGCCCCCCACCAGAGCCCCGAGACCTCGTGTCCCTTGCATGGCTCCTTCTGGAACCGGGGTCTGGGCCACCCTGGGCAGGTGGCCTGTTGTGCTGCTGCCTCTGGGTTTTGCTTCTGCAGCAGGACCTGCTCCTCCTGAGCATGTGGTGCTTCTCAGGTCACTTGATGACTCACTGCTGGGCTGCTGGAAATGACAGCCACACTTTGCCTGGAGCCTGAAGGGAAGGGCCCTCGGGGAGGTCATGGCTCAGGGGATTTCTCTGTTATACAGACAGGGTGCTAGAGCTCCTTCCTTTCTGGGTCAGGGTTGCCTTGAGCCCGGAACCTGCCCATGTGGGAGCCTCCTGACTCCACACCTATCCACGGCCCGGCCACAGCCGGGCCACGGAGTCAGGGCTGGGCTCTCACCGACCGAGCCTGTCAGTGCATCCTGGGGTGGCCTCCAGCAATGCTCAGGTGTCGCGCAGATGGACGCCTCTTCAGTGCCATGGGGTCTGCGTGTCTGACCACCCCGGCTGCTCATCAAGACTCAGCCAAGGGCTGCTGGCGGCCGTTTGGGGTCAGAGGTTGTGAGGAGCTGGGGAGGAGGGAGAGCGCGAGCCGGCTTGGCCGCTGGCCGGGCCTGCCCATGGCGGGCGGGGGGCGTGCTGCTCCAGGGCTTCCGCAGGCTGTGCCTGACGTGCCCCTGCTGCCGCATTCCCAGGTTGGGGCGACTCGGTCGGAACGCCGTCGGAGCGGGGCATGACGTACGACGCACTCCATGTTTTTGACTGGATCAAAGCGCGGAGTGGAGACAGCCCCGTGTACGTCTGGGGCCATTCCCTCGGCACTGGGTAAGAGCGCCCAGCGTGGGCTTTGTGGGAGCAGGTCTCCTCGGGGCAACTTTCCAGGCCAGGTCTTCGAGGGGCCCCAGCGGCCTCTGGGTCCTGTGAAGCCCACAGAGACCACGAGGGGGCTGGGGTGCCGCAGCTCCTCTGCAGGGAGAACTTGGACTCGCTCCAGTGGGACTGTGCCTGTGGAGGTGGGTCCCAGCAGAACAGGGTCCCTCCATCTGCCCACGCCCCGCAAGCCCAGCAGCTGGGGCTCTGGTCCTCTGTGTGGCATCATCACCAAACGTGGGGAGGTGGCAGTGGTGGTTCTGTCCTCCACCTGCTGAGACAGGAGGCCCCTCAGGGTCCACTTGGGCCTCCTTAGTGGCCTCTGCGAGTGTGAGGCTGGTGTTCCTAGAGGGAGCCGAGGCCTCCGGCACTGCCCTCTTCCCCTGCCTGCCTTCGGGCGTGGTGGCTGCAGCTGAGCGGGGCCTGCAGGCCAGGCAGTGTCTGGGACGGGTCCTGCCCGCCCACCCTCGCAGGGAGAGAGAGCCCTGGGCAGAGGGGAGCAGGCCTCCGGCCCTGACTACCTGCATGGGCCCCGCCAGCCGTGGTCCTGGGATGGCAGGAGCCCCCAGGCTTGGGAGCTCCAAGTGCTGCCGCTTCCAGGAATGCCTTCCCCTGGCTGACGGGGTGGCCCTGGGCCCTCCCATCCTCCTGCCTGTCCCCGCATCACCCGTACTGACCAGGTGTGAGCCCCTGAGGGAGGCTGCCTAGGCAAGGTGCAGGGCGCCCCTCGGGACTGGAGGTGGACCTCCTGGCATCCTTGTTGGAGGGTTGGCTGATGGCAGGGGCACCTGTGTTTCCCGTCACTTTTGAGTAGAACAGTCTCATCTGAAACAATTTTTGTCATGATTCACCCGAACTTCTTTTTCTTTGTCCCCAGAGTGGCAACAAACCTGGTGCGGCGCCTCTGTGAGCGAGGTAGGGGCGCGGGGTCACCATCAGGTCGCGGGGCGGGCTCGGTGCTGGCCGTTGGCTGTGCTCCCGGCCCTGCCGGGGTCCTGTGAGGTGGGCGGTAGCGGACCAGCAGCAGTGAGATTGGGGGGCCTGGGCAGACCCTCGCGGGCCTGCCCGCGGGCCCTACAAGTTCTCCGCAGCCGGCGGAGCTTCACCACGGGCCGGGCTCTGGGCAGGCAGCCTCAGCAGACAGGGCTCCCAGTGTCCCTTCGTGGCCGCCTCCCGCACGCCACCCACGGGAGGGCCGGAGTTGGGGCTGGGCAGGAGGAGGGGCCGAGGGGTGTGTCTCCCCAAGGCTTCTCGCCCGCCTGCCAGCTCGCCGTTTGTTTTGTCTAGAGACACCTCCAGATGCCCTCATACTGGAGTCTCCGTTCACTAATATCCGCGAGGAAGCGAAGAGCCATCCGTTCTCAGTGGCAAGTACAGATCTTATTAAAAGTGGATTTATTTTTGTAGTGAAAATAACGATGAACCATGAAGATGACTATTTGTAAATATGTAGAATAAATAAATAAGAATATCGTAAGAATTATTAGTTGAATATCCATATGGACACAAATTTTATTAAAAGTTATTTCTCATTCAGTTCTGGGCACTGGCCTGACCACAGAGCTTCTCGGGAAGCTTACCACTTTGTGCCAGGTTGTCTGAGGGTGGCTGGGCCCCCAGGAGGCCCTGCATCCCCAGCAGTGGGGCTGGTGGGCTCCCGCTCTCAGTCCAGGGAAGCCCCGCTGGGGATTCCTTGCTTTCGGGCCCAGACCGGCCAGAACTGAGGCCTCGGAGCTTCTTGGGCTTCTCTGTCCCATCTCTTCCTCCCCTTCTGCGTGGCGCCACCCGCCCCACCTTGTGCTGTCCTCTGTTGGGTCTTGTGTCTTTGCTGTTGCTCTTCTTCCACGTCGTGTGGACCCCATCTTCTTGGGGGTAGCGGCCTGCTGGGTGTGGGAAGCCTGGTCTCAGAGTGGATCCTGGCAGCGGGTCTGAGGAGCTCCATCTGTGGGCAGCCCCCTCTGCAGCCAGTCTGGGGGCCTCTTGAGCGGGGAGTCTGAGGGTGGGGGGCAGGGAGGGCAGGGGTACCCAGCACAGCTCGTGGGGTCCCACAGGTCAGCCGGCTCAGAAGCAGGTGGACCTCGGGCACTTGGACTTGTGGGGTTTTAATCGACGCCCTATCTCCCTGTCGCTTCCAGATATACCGACACTTCCCTGGGTTTGACTGGTTCTTCCTTGACCCCATCACAAGCAGCGGGATTCAATTTGCGAATGATGAGAAGTGAGTACCGGGAGGAGAGTTTAGAGAAACCAGAATCCCCGGGAGAGTGGGATCTGGGATCTGGGGGCTCGTCTCTGACGGGGCAGGGTGGAGGGGTCAGGACGTGGGAAGACTACAGAGTTGAAGAAATACAGAAACAACAGGTTTTTGGGGTCCATAAAGCTGTTTTACTTGAAAATTGTCAAAGCCAGAAGTCCTGAACCGGTATTAAAACAGTAATAGTAACTTATTCAAAAAGTAACTGCCTCGGCCACCTGATTTGTGTCTGGCTCTGGGAAGATGTTATGAAATTTAGTGTTAAAAATCATTAGCTAAACCGCAAGTTACGTGTTGTGTTTAAGGACTCTTTCTTTGAACAGCATTCACATTCTGTTGACATTATATTTGTGATATTTTTGTTTTATGGATTTTAATTCTTTAAAAAAAAAAGAAAAATCCTTCTCTGACTATTCAGCTAACATTTAATAATCTATATTTTAAAATAATACGAAAAATGAAGTAGTATTTCCCCTCAGTTATGTGCTTTGGTTCTAAAAACAGAAGTAGAACTAAAATTTGAGCAAACGTTATGAGCCAAACCCCTGCTTGCCTGTAAATGTTACCGGATTCCCTCTAAGAACGACGGCCTCTCCTGGGGCCCTGGTCCAGCGTGTCTCCCTCCCGCAGCGTGAAGCACATCTCCTGCTCCCTGCTCATCCTGCACGCGGAGGACGACCCCGTGGTGCCCTTCCAGCTCGGCAGGAAGGTGGGTGTCGGGTGGACTCGCGTCCAGCCCAGGCTGGGCCAGGCGGACAAGGAGGAGGGTCCTGCAGCTGGCAGGCCCATGAGGAAGAGCAGGGCAGGGGCAGGGCTGGTGACGCTGCCACAGGAAACGGGGGCGGAAAGCGGGCGCCTGCCTCTGGGTCCCCTGCAGGGGCCCTCCCCACAGAGACTCACTGCGGGGACTCAGCCAGGAGGGCTCGCCAGGTCCTGGCTGGAGGGAGGGGGCCTCAATGGCCAGGACCCCCATGGGTGGAATTGGCACAGAACCTGTCACCTGTTCCCCGACCTTGGCCCTGGACTGACATTGGAGGGTGCCTCATTGTCCTGGGGCCCCTGCATCTGCTTTGTCTTTGCTGCCAGGAAGCAGGATTGGATCTGGGGGTGGGG